CTTTAGTTGGAAGTCTTTGAGTCTGTTATGAAATGAAAAACGGGCATTTTCAACCACAAGATGCCTCCTTCTGGTCCTCCCTATTCCCCTAAACAGCAATTTATCATCAATAGTACCATCTGGACACCAAGTTTATATTACAAACACATGTGTAATGCCACTGCCTCACAGGTTACTCCCATCCCAACCCTCAAACCCAGGTAACCTCCAATGACACTGTTAGCTAACACATGTATATGGTACTCTTATCAAGAGACCAAAACACAATGGCCCAATACTAGATCCAAGGGAGTAAATTGCTCCTAATGTACCTTTTGGCACAAGAGTAAGTAAACAAGGAAATACATGGAACTGAAAACCTCCACATGACATTCACCTGCCTTTTCTAAGTGAACCCATACTTAATATATAGCATCTGAGAAGGTATACTTAGTACAGTATGATAAAAATGACATTGTGGAAAAATTACGACAAAAATGCTGTCATTCATGAGAACAAGAGTTGACTACATTACCTTTTTGTGCTGATACACAACTGATGGTATTAAATCACAAATCAAAGAATAAGGATTAAACCAAGTCTTAGATCCCTAAACAGGAGACATAAAGATAATTTATGTTTGCCATATGTTGAGAGAGGCAAGGGAGTGGGAGAGTGACATGAAGAACCCCATGATTTCGGAAGCTTCCGTGACTTCTCCACATATAACCAGGGTATTGTTTTGCCATTATTAATTCAGAATAACCAAAAAAATGAGAAAAACAACAATGCACTGTTATGCACATTTCATTCTTAGTACTGGCAAAGTATTAAACTGCCCACTCAAAACAGTCCTAGGGGGCTGGTGGAGTGGCACAAGTGGTAGAGCGCATGAAGCCCTGAGTTCAACCCCCAATACCACAAACAAAACAAAACAGGCCTAGGAAAAGATAAAGCACCTCACAAAAACTCTCCACCAACTACACTTCCGCCACTCAGGCATTCGCTCTTCCTGAAATAGGTTTTCTTCTAAGCACATAGTGGATTCTTCTTGTGTCTCAAAGCTAACCAAAACAAAGAAATCTGTTTCATGTGCTAATCAAAAGACAGCACAGGTAACCTAGGAGAAAACTTTTATGGTCTTCTACATTGAAAACCTATTTCTAATACTCCCACCACAAATTGCTTTTCCCAAAACTGTGTGCACAATATATGCACGAGTATTTGTATATATATTATTCTAGGTTTTAGCTCTCATTTTGATTAATAAAATTAAAGTCATTGTTTTCAATTGCTTAAATGAGAACTTTCTGCAATTTAACTGTGTCAAATACATTTAGAGTATTCTTTCTTGTGTTCATGTGGTACTTGATTTGAACTCAAGGCCTTACACACGCTAAGCAAGTGCTCTACCACTGAATTATATCTCAGTTCCTTGTTCATTTTCAAATTGATAGGGTACTTGAAAGTATCAAACAATAGGCCAGGCACGGTGGTACAAGCCTATAATCCCAACTGCTCATGACCAGAATAATTGCAGTTTAAGGCCTAATATGCAAAAAAATTGGGCAAGACACCATCTCAACAAACAAGCCAAGCATGGTGGTGCACATCTGTAATCCCAGATTACAGATTATGTGGGAGGTACAGGGAGGTCTGAGGTCAGCCCTACCAAAGTACAAAATCCTTCCTTAAAAATAACTAAGCAAAACAGGGCTGGGGATGTTGACTCAAGTGGTAAGGCATGCACCTAACAAGTGCAAGGCACTGAGTTCAAACCTCAGGATCACCACCAAAATAAGAAATCATTTTTGAATGCGCATGTAAAAAGTGTTAGAATATGCATTGCTTCTAAGGAAATTATCAGCTGTCTAAAGAAAAAGTATACAGGTGGAGAAGCCAGTCCTCTCTCTAGAAACAACCATAAGTCATTCTCCCTATGTTTCTTGAAACTGAAGGAAAGTGGGACCGTTGAACAGTCATTAAAACACACAGGCAACCCAGTCTCCTCAACAAGCACTTTAGCAGTTTCATCACTAGAAAACATTCCAGATTAATATCCAAAATAACAGTTAACTTCTCAGAGATCACGTCTTCACAACCTACTGCTGCAGCATGACAGACAGGATCAACTCTGCCAAAGTCTGCTCCCTTGTCTGGGTTTAGTTATTCTTGTTTTGTTCTACTTGATGAACAATTCTTTCTGTAAAAGAAGACATGAACATTGACCCTAAACTCCCAAATAAACTGAAAATTTATGTTTTAAATGTCATCTGTGCTGATGACTACCAGGTAACACCAGTTTGGGCCTCTTCAACTTTACATTCACATCTCAAAGGGACTCGCAGTCTTCTTTCTTGACTGAGCAGGCCACCCAGCATGACAATTTCATTGCTTCATTACATTTGATATAATCTAGTTCTCCAGTCACCCCTGCTCTATTACACACGATGAATAATGTGAGTAATCTTAGGTTGATGTCATGTGAACTTTAAGACATATAAATGAAAGTATCTTCCATTTTATTAATCTATTTCCAGATAATCCATGACCACTTGGATTAAAAATACCTGATACGTCTGCTGAACAAGCAAATTCCTGAGCCCTACTACAAAACTACTGATCTACCAATCAGAACCTGTGTGGGAGGCCAAGGAAGTCTTTGTAACAGATAATCTCCATGTACACACTAAAGTTCAAGATCCTCTAATTATCATCTCTTAGCTTTCCATCTAAACTTTATTTCCCATGGTAACACTTACAAAAACGTTACCAGGAAGCTATGATGAGCTCTGTATTACCAAAAATGCCTTGCCCTTTTCAAACTTTCACTACAGTTTTAACTATCTGTCCCAATTCTTTGACAAATGCATATTCAAGTGTAACATCATCCCCAAGTCTTCAACGACTGTCCACCTCTTAAATGCCTTAGTGCTTTGTCTATATTAGCTGTGCTATGTTATACTAAATAAAATTGTTATCCAAAAGCATATAAGCTCCTTCCAGACACCAAGAGGTGTAGCTGATAAATCTTAGGAATGCTACTGTAAATGATCTTAAATACTTATCAGTAAAAGAAACTTGAACTACTCCTAGTGAACTAGGAGAAACAAATGTTTAATTTACCTAGGAAATAAAAGTACTGTGGAAACCACTGCTACTTTCTACAAAGTAACACCAAGTGGTAGCAGGTACTCCATATGTTCTGAATGAAAAACAATTAACATTTAAGAACAAGGTACTCTTTGTAGGATTCAGAAATGTAGAAATTACCTACTTCTGCATATTTTATTAGTAAAGATTTTACTTTAAACACACATCTTGAGATTTTTGCACTTAGAAGGGAGCTACCAAAATGTAGCTACCACCTTCTTAGTATTCTTAAAGTATGTGAAACTCATTAATATATCTCAGAGGATACTATTGATGGTTGTTACCTTAATCCTATTAGAAAGTATTAGAAACAAGTCATAATTATTATGCTCATTTAAGAGCTATGTGAAGAGGCTGTTACATGGGAGAAAGGAAGAAAGGGGTATGGAACACAAATCTGAATAATTTAATAGAATTTCATTTAATAAGCATATTCAAAGTTCATTTCTTCCAAAAACAGCATTTTAATTACATTCAAATTGTATTCACTTTAAATACCAACAAAACCATCATTTACATATACGGGAAGATATTAGAAAACAGATGAAAATTTAAACAACTTTTACTTTTTAAAAGTCCTTCCAAATTTAGAACACTGTGAACTACTAAGTACATACCTACAAAAAGTATGCTATCAGGACAACACAAGTTGTTCCAATAGAAAAAGAAGTATAATACACATACAATGGAACATAATTCACATAGGTTCAACTTACAGGTATGTCTCACAGTATTAAAAAAAAAAAACCTTACTACTATTAATACAGGGAAAAATCACAGCTGACATTCTAAACTAATGCACCAATATAATGTTTTCCCAGAGGGTTCTCAAGACTTTATGTTGACCCATGATTTTTCACTACTTTGTTCTCAAATATAGAACCAGAGCACTTAGAATTTCCTGTTTTTAAATTAGATTCACGTTTCCTTTAGAACAGTGACTCAAAAGGTATCATGAGAGGTATTATCAAACTTGTTCGATTTAAAGATAATTATGACATTTCTTTCATTTTGCTCTGTACTTCTTCTATTCTCCCCTCAAAAGTCTCTACGAAAAGTATACACATAGTGGTAAAGATTTCAAACCAGATAACTCTTGAGATGCCAGAGGAATATGAGACTTAGCATGAGCACAGATTTGGGGGAAAAAAATCCCCCATTTATTAAACCTTTGAGTGCAGAAAGAGGGGAAACCATATATGAAAACATAAGGAAAGAGAAAGTATTGAAAAATAAATGGAAGAAGGCATTTAGAACAGTGGTCCTTATGGGCTTTAATTTCAAAGACATATAGCAACCAAGCTACCAGTAACTGCTGAGTATTTTTTTAAAACTTGTAGGAATGTCTTTAAATTTTTAACTTGTACAAATCAAGTTGCTATAGCCAAAACAAAGAGATCATAATTACTGGTTCATATAAGAGATATGTGAAGGTTGTTACATAGGTGGGAGGGAGGAAGGAAGGGGTATGGACACATCAGGTCAAAAGAGGCCAAATTAGGAACAAAGCTAAATACCTAACCTGATCTGACCAAAGGCAGAAGGGCTCTGCCTTTCCTCAGATTTTACTGCATTTCATAATCACAGGAAAAGCACATTCCTTCTTTATTTCTTAATGTGTGTCAGGCTTAAAATGGCAGAAAGAATAGCCCTTATCACACATTACTTCTTTAGAAGAGGTGGTTTTAGAATTTGGTTCAATGCTTGTATTTGTTTTTTAACAACAAATTTAAAAGGTGACTCTTCTAAAATGGTGCTCAGATGTACTAATATATTTATTCTTTTCCCATTAAAAATTATCAATGAGAGTTATGATTCAGTATTTTAAAGAAATGTTAACTTCAAACTGTTTAAAAATAACTGCCTGTTGTGTCAAATACTGAAATTATTACTATTTTGTTCATTATAAATATATAATTAACAAACACTATATAATCACCCCCTATGATCACTATAAAAATTTAAATGATCCTTTACTCTTATACATGAAGATGGTGATTCTGAAGTAACACTAAACCATAACAGTCCATTCATGACAGGAAGTCTATCTCAGTTTTTGGAAAGTCAGTGCATTCAGTGGTTATACTAGGCATGAAGTTCTTCCATAGCTCAGAGGTCTGGAAGAGTAAAATGAAAAAAAAAAAAAAAAAAGATAAATAATCTGAGAGTCATCTAATGATAACAAATAATACCAGTACTTGAAATCAAATATGGTGTAACCTGAGTGTCAATCAGCTGTGGACTTTTCTCCCAATGGAAGGCGTTCCCATAACTGGAGCAACTGTTCACCAACCTGAGGTTCCAATTCCTAGAAAAACCAAAATAAATAAATAAATAAATAAACATAAAAAAACTAGATAAAAATTTTTTAATCACCAAAATCTGTACTGATAAAAATACAAAATAAATCATTATTTCATTTTTTTATCAGACCATACTAAAATCATATGGTACACACTGTTCTAATTCTTTACTATAAGGAATACTGAGTTGACTTTTAGATTTTAGACAAGTGAATCTGCAAATACTTCAACTTTGTGACAAAACAGCAAAAGATTTCCAAGGGGTCCTTCTGGAATTTTTTTTATGTGAAAATAATGGATTTTGTTTTTAATGGAGATTTACAAAAGCATTCAACTTGAACTTCCAAAGATTTACTGTGAAACCTAGCATATTAAGATGTTTTAAGACTTTTTTTAAGAAACTTAAGTAAGTGACTTTACATTCTTATCTCAGGAATTATTTAAATTAATTTCAAAATCATTATTATAAAAGGAAAACATTATTACACAGGTAAAAAGAATGACACTTTATAGTCTTCTTATGGCATGATATAGCATACATATTTATAAATCAAACACTTTTTCCAAGATAATTTGAATTAAGCCACACTGGTTAAAATAAATTACTAGCTGTAATTTAGGCAAAATTAACCTCTCAGTTTATTTTTATTACTGGATAATAACTCACCTTATTATTCATAAGAACTAAATTATATAAAGAAGCTAGCACAGTATTTTGATGCTATGTTGTAGCAGGGAGGAGGGCCAAAAAAAGAAACAATCAAGTCTGTGTTCTGATAATGTAGCAGGGTGGGAGGGGATGTCATATCAGGGAAATAAAACTTTTAAAAATTTAAATGTGAAGAAGGTCACGTAGCACTGGGGGGTGAAGTAGCCAATAAAGTTGTATGTAACCATATATGGGTTAAACCTTGCTTTTTGCTTCTGTAACCTGCTTGCAAGGATATATAAGGCAAGGCCCCTTTGTTCTTGGGGCTCAGCCTTTGGATGTGAATCTGCTGAGCTGCTGCCAGCACGCTAATAAATACTGCATCCTGAAAAGCCTTGGTGTCCGGTGTCTCTGTTCGAGATTCCCGTAACAATGTGTTCATTCCACAACTAGTATCAAGTGCACATAAGGAGCATCTTGAAGGCAAAGAAAAACAGCAAGCCACTAAAGTATGAAATGGTTACGTACTTTTCATAATTAGTTTAAACTACAAACAAGTTAAATAGTGCTGTCACCTTGAGACTTCAGTCTCAGGGTTACCTCAGGATTAAACTCTGTTTTTTGGTGGTACTGGGTTTTTGAACTCAGGGCCTCATATTTGCTAGGTAGACTCAGTTTTAATATGTTTAATAAGACCACAGAAACTTCCATAAAGTGACTTATGAAAAGTTTCATAATATGCAATTTTAGCAAGCAAAATTCACAAAATGTTAAAAAAAAAAAGGGAGCCAAAAGATACGTTTGCAAGTAGACTTCTACCAGGTCTTTTACAAATCAGAACCACTCTATACCATGTGCACATGGCATATAAAATGTGTATTCATAGATTTTTTTTTCCCCTCTAAGTACAGAATAACAGCAAAAGAAAACAAAACAGCAGTAAAGAAAATATTTAAATGCCACTATATACCTGCCCATCTCTGCTTATCTGTACTTTCTTGTTGTCATTCCAAGGATTGAGTAAATGGTGTGCAAACTGAAAGGGAAGGCTTTCTTTTCTTATCCACTCCACCTTAAATACTCCTCCGAGTCCAGCTGAGCCCCAGTCCTGGCTCTTCTCCCTTCCTATTTCAGAACACATCCTAGAAAATCCCTGCAGATGAAAGAAGGGGAAGGGGTGGAGGTGAGATGATAGTAGAATATCAAAATTGAATTTAGCTGATAAGACAAATATACAATATAAAGGTAATATATACTTAACAAAAAAAAGCTTCATTATAAAAGAAAATGTTAGAGGAAAAAACAATTCTAGCCTAACATAATTGCAAATATTAGTTTCTAGACAATGTATCACCAGTTCTAAGTCTACATTTTATTATGTAACGAGTAAAACCAAAGCTCTAAACTTTTATTTCTAAGAATTGTGATAAGTATGAAATAGTAAATTCAGTGTTTGTAAACTCAGATACACATTACATCAAGAAGAGTTAAGGAACATACTTAGCTTCTTCATCACCAATACTAACTTCCTTGGTCTACTTAATAGGTCAAGCTTCTCATTATCGTCAGTCCACTTAAGAACCACTGAATCGAAAGTTGTCGTCAGAAGGGAAATGACTTATCAGGAAAGGCATTGGTAAGACAAGGTAAAGACAAAGGAACCCCAGTTCTACCATCCCCTTGTAGAGACATAAAATACTCCTCATTCTCAACTAAGCAAAAGGCATGCTTGCATCCAGAGTTTGTTTTATTTTGTTTTGATCTGGAAAGCGTATCCCACAGCCAAAACAAGCTCATTTTACTGCCACAGGATGCTCACCTGGAAATGACCAGATCCTTGAACAGAAAATACCAAGTAAACCATGCTGCTTTCCCAAAAGGCTCGATTCAGCTTCCGCTCATTACTGGGGGTTGTAGACCAGATGCCCTTCTGCTGAGAGATTTCAAGGTTTCTCAGATTGCTACTCTTCATTATGAAATATCGAACAGGCATGTTTGGTCTTGGGGAAGGAGATTTTGAGCCCTATGAAAAAAATCCGTAAGTTCTTGAAAGGTAATTTGATCTTTCAAATCAGTACACTCCATAAAATAGCATCTTTATAAATATATAAACCAAAATATTTTCCCCAACACTTAACAAATGCAAATAGTTCTATCCCTGAAAACCTTTACAAAGTTCAATCAGAATGAGGTTAAGATGCTAAAATCATAACTGGGTGCTAGGGGCTCACACCTGTAATCCTAGCTGCTTGAGAGGCTGAGATCAGGATTGCTCACAGTTCCAGGCCAGTCAGAGCAAAAAGTTTTGTGAGATCCCATCTCAGTGGAAAAAAGCTGGGTGATACAGGATGCTTAAAATAGAAAGGTCATGATTCAGGCTTGCCTGGACAAAAAACAAGACCCTGTTTCCAATATAACCGGAGCAAAAATGGTTTGAGCACCTGGCTCAAGTGGCAGAAACCCTGCCTTGCAAGTGCAAAACCTGAGTTCAAATCCCAGTACTGGCAAACAAAAACCAAAGAACAAGTACTTATTTTAAAAGGTCCAAAAAGCCTTATCAAGAAAGGTCACTTAATTTTCACAAAATGTTTTAAACTTTCTAATTATAAAAACAAAACTAAAATTGTTCCAGTTTACTACCTGGAAGCAGTTTCCAGATGACAAAGAGAAACACAGAGTCCAGCAATCTCCCTGAGTTGTAAAGAGAGATTGGGATTTAAGGACCACATGACTAGAGTTTGCATGGAAAGATCCTAGTTGGGCAGGAGTTGTACAGAAAGAGCTCCAGAGGAACTGCACAGAAGTCCACAAAGTATCTAACTGAGCACTGACCTGAACATGAGTGAGGTGGGGAAAAAAAGGTGCTAAGACTAGAGAAAGAACCAAAGAAAAGCAACAGACCAAACAATTCCCAAAGACCACAAGTGGTTGGGAGTATTTCATGTTATCTTTGGTCAGAATAGAGAAGACCTAGTAAAATAGACTTTAGTATTAGAACTAAATTAATACCAGAATAAAGACTTCTCTGGGCCCACTGTAACAATGGTTACAATCAAATCTCAACAGGATTAAACTGACTGCAACTAAACTGTAAAATAAAACAAAATCTAACACTATTTAAGGTAATACACAAAAATCTAGCAGCCAAACAAATTTAAAAGAAAGGCAAAGAAACTGGAAAATATGACCTACAATCAGGAAAAAAAAATAACCAACAGAAACAGACTCAGATACTGTAGATTTAGGAGACAGGAGACAAGAATGTTACAATTGTTCACAATGTTCAAGAGGATACAGAAAAACAACACAATGAGAGAGAAAAATAGAACAGACTTTTTAAAGACCCAAAGGTAACTAACTTCTGGAGATAAAAACATAATATTTGAATACACATTACAATAGCTTAAGAAACAAGAGAAAGAATTAACAAATGGGATTTTATCAGTTACAAAGGTTCCACACAGTAATAGAAAGGAACAATCCAGAGTTAAGAGACAGCCTCCAGAACGGGGGAAAAAAATCCTTGCCAGCTATTTGTCTGATAGGGGAGTAATATCAAAAAAATGTAAAAGACTCAACAAATTAAACATCAAAAGAATAATCCAATAAATAAATGAGCAAATGACTGAACACTTTTCAAATGAAGAAGTATAAATGGCCAATGAACACATGAAAAAAATTTTCAACAATACTTAGTCATCAAAGATAGGCAAATCAAAACTATCCTGAGGTTCCACCTCACCCTGGTCAGAATGGCTATTGTGAAGAAAACAATTAACAAATGCAGGCAAGGATGCAGGAGAAAGGAACTTTTCTGCTGGTGGGAATGTAAATTAGTGCAGGCACTAATTTACTAGTTTTTGATGGATCTTCAAAAACTAAAAATAGAATTCCCTTATGATCCAGCCATACCACTTCTGGGTATATACACAAAAGAATCAAAGTCAGTTTACTACAGATATACCTCTATACTCATGTTTGTCATGATACTATTCACAACACCAATTATGGGCTCAGCCTGGGTGCCCATCAACAGATGAATGAATAAAGAAAATTTGGTATATATACACAATGGAGTTTTGCTCAGCCATTAAGAAGAATAAAATTATGTCATTTGCTAGAAAATGAATGGATGGAACTGGAGATCACCATTTTAAATGAAACAAGTCAGTACTGCAAAACAACTATTGTACATTTCTCTCATTCGTGGGAGCTAGGGGGAAATAAAACAAAACAAAAAACAAGATCATGAGTAAAAAGGAGATTACTAAGGAGGTGAAAGGGGAAATTAAGAAGGGGAGGCGCACGAGAGGGGATAAGAAACAGTAACAGAGAGGTGAACATGATCAAAGTACATTGTATGCATGTATGGAAATGTACAATTTTAAATATACCAATAAAAAAGAAAACTAATGAATTTATTTTAATTTAGGAAAGAATGAACAGACTAGACACTAAAAATAAAAGTTATCTGGGAACATACAGACATAGCAATGGAAATATCCAAAATGAAGTAAAGAGAAAAATGATAGAATTAAAAAAAAAAAACCAGTATAAATGATCTGTGGAATGATATCAAGCAGTCTTACATTTATGTATCTAGAGTCACCAGAAAAGAGAGAAGAAAGGGGAGATATAAAAATATGTGAAGAAATAAGAGCCTTAAATGTTCTAAAATTAATAGAAATTATAAATGCACAATCTGAAGCAGAAACAAAGAGAACAAGACTAAGCCATCTCAAAATCAAACCGATGACAACCAGTGGTAAAAAGAAAATTTTGAAACAGGTACAGGAAAAAACAGACATATTATATACTAATAAACAAAGTAAAAACCATGTAAGCCAAGGCAGGGCATGGTGATGCACACGGTAGCCCCAGAACTGGGAAGGCAGAAGGATCTCAAGTTCCAGCCCACCCTGGACTACAAAGTGAAACCCTGCCTCAAAAAAAAAAAAAAAAAATTCTATGCACAAAAAAAAAAATCTTCTAAAAAGACCTTTAAGACAAAAGCTTAAAGAATTTATTGAAAGCAGTTATGCACTAGAAAAAATGTTAAAAGACCCCCAGGCAGAAGTAAATAATGTAAGATGGAAATTTGTTTTAACACAAAAGAATAAAGGGCACAGAATCAGTAAATATGTGCAAAAATATAAAAGATTTTTTTTAACTTTTAAATCTTGGTAACAGATAATCCACTATGTAAAGTAAAAATAATATACTTTCTGCAGAAACACAGTGTATGAAAACAGTAACACAAAGGAGTGAAGGATAAAATAAAAACACTACTACAAAATTCCCCAATTACACCTGAATTCAAAGTACACAAGGTAGGTTAAAAATGGCTTCACTAGTGACTTCTATCTAGGACATGGGTAGGAAATAATAACAATTCTACACTTTGGTTTAAAAATATTGAGTGGAAGGAACACTACATAGAAATCTTACAAGGCTGGCATTATCCTGATACCAAACTATACAAAATAACAAAAGAAAAGAGACTACAAGAGATGTGGCTCAAGTGGTAGAGCGTTTGCCCAGCAGGTAAAACAACCCTAAGTTCATTCCTCATTATCGCCATTTCTCAGGCTACAGAGCTCCAGCAGCTTTGTGAAATCTGATGGCAGCAACATAGTGAGGTCACCTGGACATGTTAGAAGCAGGAAATAAGTTTTTAGAAGATTCCAAGATGGCGACTAGAGGGAGGAAGCAGAAAGCGTGCCTCCTAAATTAAAATCTTGGAGAGACACTGGAGATACACCTTACAGGAAAAACCACTGAGAAGAGGCAAAAGTTTGACTCCTCCACACCTCCAGCCTGCGCATAGCATATCCACTCCACGTTAAAGGGAGAAACCAGAAGGGCTCCCACGTGGCCACCAGATGCTAGTGCCCAGACAGCATGGGAAGATGCAGACTACAAGTTTTTTCCCACTTTGATGAGACAATGACAGAACTACGTCTGAGACACCATCTCCAGGATTGGAAGCTGAGGGACGAACACCAAAATTATTAAGACTGAAACTTTATTGCATTTGAACTTGGAGATTTCATTTATTTATTTAGTTAGTTATTTATTTTTCATTTATTTTATTTTATTTTATCTTTTATTTTCAATCCTCTATCTCTCTAATGCCTGTTCAGCTTACTGTTGATACACTATCTCTCCCTGTTTATATCTTTGAAACTTTTGGTGTTGTTTGTTTTTTTCTACTTGTTTATTTGTTTTTCCCTTTTTCTTTAACTTCTTTGCTTTCCATCTCCTCTCACCCTTCCATTCTAAATATCACCATTGTTATTATTACAAGCTAGAAAATACTTATTGCACACAGTACAGGGACAATAACAACACCAAGGGCAATGACAGGAAGACAGAAAAAACAGGGAAAGCAGTTTCCCCACAGCAAAAAATTAGTACAGAAACAAGAGGGAAATAAAGAAAACAGATACTCAGATCCAGACTACAACAAAATGAAGATAAACTATGCCAAAGAACCCAATGAGGCTCACAAGAACAATCTAAAAGAAGAAATACTACAGGTAATCAATGAGAATTTTTTTGGAGATGATACTGGATATGGTCAACCAAAATGTACAGGAGATACTCAAGAAATTCCAAGACAACAAAAATAGAGAATTTGAAAAAGCAAAAGAAGAAATAAAGGAAACCATAGAAGCACTGTATAAACACCAAAGTGTAACAGAGAACACAATTAATAAAGAGATAAATGAACTCAGGACAAAAATAGACAACATTAAAGAGGAAACGACCCAGGATATGGAAAACCTCAGAAAAAAGAACAGAACTGCAAAACAAAACAGAAGGCCAATACAGCAGAATAGAACAAACAGAAGATATAATCTCAGAACTCAAAGATGAAATGGTATAGGAAAAACCAAGGAACTATTAATTAAACAACTCAAGACCTGTGAAAAGAAAATGCAAGAACTCACCGACTCCATCAAAAGACCAAACCTGAGAATCATGGGCATTAAAAAAGGAGAAGAGGTGCAAGCGAA